CCCTGGTCACCCCCACCATGCATGGGTGACCATGTCGGCAATACTTGGCACGCATAAATGTGGCCCACAAGCAGTTACTTGTACGAAACCGCCACTAGAGTTTTAAAGAAAAGGCAGTGAACACCTCCGCTAAAAAGTGGACCCCGATTCCCCCATGTGATGTGTGGGAGCATAAATCACACCACTTTATCCAATGATGCCGAAAACCATTCTCCCTTTCCCCCCACAAAAAATTTGCCATGGCTCGTTCAGTCAAGGCCAAGATCCCTTTCGGGGGACTCGAGGCCATAAGCAGATGAATCAGAATCGTCAATAAGACGTGTTTAATAAGAATAATTCGGCCCCCGAAAGACAGGCATCTGGACCGCCAAGCTGATATCTTATTGATAACTGACTGCACCAAATCCATAAAATACCTGCTCTTCCGCCGCCCAGAAAATAATGGGCAACCCAAATATCGCACCGGGAGTGACTTTAATACAAATCCTGTAACTTGCCACACCCTAGCCACACAACGACTCGGTGTCATGTCATGCACCAAAAAATCGCTCTTGTCGACATTAATCTGCTGACCCGACACCTCCTCATACCAGCCAATCGTCTGCATCACACAGCGAAGCGAAGTGGGGCAAGCACTTGAAAAAATGATGATATCATCAGCATAACTGAGGTGAATAATCTTAGGGCACGCCCTTGGTACCGCAAAGCACTTTTTTTTATTTTTTATTTTTTAAACAAACGATAACATTTTATAGATATTAACACTTGATAATACAAGAGTTAGTTACAAAAAGGGGTAACTACTCCCATATCTTTCCTAGCTAAATCTGCTAGCCATGTTAGGAATGAGGTTTCCCATTCAATGTTTCTAACCGACTTGACTGCAAATTGAGCCATTGCATGACTACAACCATTTGCAGTTCTGGGAGCAAAAGAGAATAGGCAACTATCAAAGCTATTCTTTAGGGCCTCAATGTCTTCTAGGATTGTTTGTAGCTTACAATTCTGAACATTGCCTGTATTAATGGAGCTCACTACAATTTTGCAGTCAGACTGGACTTCTATATTTGTCCATCCTACATCTTGAGCCATTTCCAGCGCACTTCTGATCGCTAATGATTCCTCTGTGGCAGCTTTCCCTCTTCTCCTTCCAACGATTCCTCGAGCTTTCACTAGTTCCCCACGCCAGTTCCTTGCAACTATCCCCAATCTGGTCCTGACCATTTTAGCTAAAACTGCTGCATCCGTATTAATCCTCATGACTCCCTCCTTGGGTGGCTCCCAAGTATGCTGAACCAGTCTTTCCCTCTTTGATGATACAGTTGCTCGGGAGTTTGTTTCATTTGCCGTATCAAATTCGATCCACTCCTGCTGCGCTTTGTCAATTATCATTTTTGCACCCACATTCTCCATCTAGAATACCATCTTGTTCCTCGCTTTCCAACGCTGCCAAAGGATATTCACTGTGAGTTTGATACGTTCCATTCCTTGCACCTCCTTAGCTGATTCCATCACAGCATCCCACCATCTCCACATGTTGCATTGTAACTCAACTAACCCTTCCCATCTCACTGGAGCTAATCTCCAGACCACTTGAGCTTTTGGGCAAAAAAAGAACATGTGTTCAATGGTTTCGGTAGCCTCTCCACAGCAATGACAAAGGTTGCTTCCCTTTCCAATTCTCTGATAGAGCACTTCACTGGTAGCCAGCCCATTTTGTAAACACCTCCATAAAAAGTGCTTCAATTTCATCTTAATATTTAAACTCCACAATCTTTTCCACACCGTATGCTTCCTAATTTCCCAGCTAGTCTCAGAGTCAGGTGTTGACCTACGGGTCATGGTGTCCCTTCCCCCTTTTGCAACAACATAACCTGTTTTAACTGTATATACCCCAGACTTGCTATGATTCCAAAATAATCTGTCTTTCCTGTCATAAAGGCTAAGAGAAATGCTAGTTATGTGCTCCACATCATGTGCATTAAACCAGAGTTGCAAGTGATCTGTCTTCCACCTCCCTCCCTCTATTAGCTCATTAACGAACTCTAGAAGTCCTAATTTTCTAGCAAGTTGTTCAAGGCCCGAGACAACACTTCTGCACTAATGATGAATAGGCCTGGAGACAATGGATCCCCTTGACGAACTCCCCGTGAGGACTTAAAGAAGCCCACACTTGCCCCATTAATTAAAACTGAAAACCAGACATTGGAGACCTGTCTTCAAACCATGTCAATCCAACACTCACCAAATCTAAACCTCCGCAAAACCATAGTCAAAAAACCCAAGATACTCGGTCATATGCCTTTGACATATCCAGATTGAGGGCTACATTAGCCTTCCCTGAAGCTTTACCCATACTAGACAGGAGTTCTTGGGCAAGCAAAAAATTATCTGAGATTAGCCGTCCCCGCACAAAACCACTCTGCTGAGGAGAAATGATCTTCGGAAAGACCTGAGCCAGGCGGACAGCCAATATTCTCGCAATAATTTTGTTAACGAAATTACACAGGCTGATGGGTCTGAACTACGAGAAATTCTGGGGGTGCGTAATTTTAGGGATGAGAACAATGGAAGTTGCTGTGATTGCCGGTGGCAATTCAGCGCCACAAAAGAAACTACATACAAACAGCCCTCACCACTTTGTCACCTATTATCTCCCAAGCTACTGTAAAGAACTTGCCTGTGTAGCCATCCGGACCCGGCGCTTTCACCATCCATCTCAAAGATAATGCGACGAATCTCCTCAGAGCAGGGAACCTGTTCCAATGCCTCGTTGTCCTCATGTGTCAGGAGTTGTGGGATATACTGATGCAACCCCGAAGACGTGGCCATCGGAGGAGCCGCAAATAGCTTCTCAAAGAAACGTACCGCCTCATCTCCTATCGCAGCCTCCAACTCCACCCACTCCCCCCGGTCATTTTTTATCTTATGGATAACAGATTGCATCCTCCGATATTTCATCACAGAATGGAAGTACTTTGTGTTTCGGTCCCCCTCTTGCAGCCATTTAACGCGAGCCTTCTGCCTCCAAAAGAGTTCCTCCACTCGCAAAGTAGTATGTAACTGAGCTTGTGCACGGTGTAGGTTTGCCCGAGCTTCCTCTGACTCATCCGTCTCCAACCGAATCTCGGCAAGCCGCACCTCCTCCTCATTGTGTTTAACTGCCTGAAAAATATCTCCAAACACCTCCTTATTCCAAACCTGGATAGCTCCCCTAAGGCGCTTTAACTTCTGGCAAAGGATCCGCAAAGGGGATCCAAGACAAGGTTCTCCATCTCCCTCGCCCAGAAGCTCACCCGCTGTAATGCCTACCTTCGGAACATAATCTGCCTTCCTAGCTTGCTCAGGCGTGCTATCTTCCTTCACCTCTACCGCAACATCACTTGGAATCTCCTTACCCATTCTTTTCCTTCTAAACAGCGGATCATCAGCCTTACACTCCTCCCGTGCATGACCCATATGCCAGCAGTTATTACAATACTTCGGAAGACACTCAGCCACAATTGGTTGCCAAAACCTATCCCCCTCTCCAGCCATACCCACCCACACCCGCTGTGGAAGAGGAAGCAAGAGGTCAACCTCTACTACACACGAGCAATGCTGGGCCGAGAAAGCGACGAAGTGGCTGCATCTACAAATAAGGGCCGACCAACCACACTGGCAATGGAAAGCAGGCTATGTTTATCAAAAAAATGGATAGGTAGACATGGTAGCGCAATCCAAACTGGCGCTAGGGAAGACTCTCGGTGGACATGGAAGTCTGGTGACCATCGAAATACTCGCATAGGACATCTCCCAACCTGCCACAGCCCCCGTGTCCACACACGCAAGAAATCTGCTTCCTGAGAGAATCACAGCAGAACATGCCGAGCATCTAAGTACCTAATGGTGACAGTGTTTTTCAGATCCAATGTGGTAAAGAATCTGCAAATCTCATCCAGTTTCGGCCTGCCGTGAGAAAACTGACCAACCAGCGTGAATTTATACGGAGCAGCCAGCTTCACGATATCTTCTCTGGAGAAGTAGACCGCAGGCTCACCCTTGTGCGCTGTTGGTTTCTTGAGATCAATTGGTGACGGGGACGCAATTGCAAAGAGGGAGGCGAACGACTTTGTGGATGGTGAAGGGGGCTGCCCTCCAGCCCTAAGCTGAAGGGCATCCATGGCTACGCTGTTCCTTCACTACTGTGCCACCCAAGGATGACGGTAGCCATGGAGAAAACCCTAAAAACTCACCTGGTAATTAGAAAAACCTTGTTTTCCATTGCTTTTCAAGGAATAGACAATAAGAACATAAATTTTAAAAATTTTAACCAAAAATTTCACTTCACTCTTTCACCCCTCCCCACACTTAAAACAACATTGTCCTCAATATTGAAGATAAAATAAAGAAATAATAACAAGAAAAAAGCTGAAAGTGAGACTCCCCTGATAATAAATGAATTCCAATGACCAAGCAGAGTAGGAGGAAAGTTGCCAGTTACCATCCAATAGTCTAACTCAAGAACCGATCCAACCAACCTAAAAGAACAAGTGAACACTATAAATTGGGGTTAAACACACCACCAAATAACACAAACTAGAAAGCAATAAAATCCTAAGGAAATAAACACTGCCATTAATTCCAAAAACAAGGAAAAGATAAATGAAATTAAAATGAAAGTTGGGTTGCCTTCCGATGAATGCTAAGTTTTATGTCTTTAGCCAAACAAGACTAGATGGAGTCATGGCAGATGAAATGGTTCAGATATTTGCACATCCTCTAATTTATGTGTCCGCAGTACTGCATAATTTTTCACATTAACATTGCACTTTCAAACCGTCGAAGAAGAATATAAGCGACGATCAAGCAAAGGCATATATCTTACATCCTGCTCTAAGACATATATTTCACCATACAACTCATCAGTAGTAGCAATGTATGAACAAGATTCCTCATACGAAGGGTACTTTAAGGGTTCAAAAATATTAAATTCTTCTTTTCCTTCAAAAATATTAAATCTATGTTAATTCCCTTGTAGCTAAGAACCCTCTACTAACGATAATAGGCATAGAAATATCTTCTTCCATATCAAGAACAATAAAATCAGTAGAAAAATAAAATTTATCAATTTTAACCAATAGATCTTCTAAAATACCCATTGGATAATGCGCTGAACGATCAACCAATTGTAGAATCACTTGAGTAGGCACTAGGTTGGCAAACTTCAATTTCCTGAAAAATGATAAGGGCATCAAATTAACATTAGATCCAAGGTCACATAAACATTTATCAACAAGAAGATGTTCAAATTGACAAGGCACAGTAAAACTCCCTGGATCTTTCATCTTAATTGGAAGATGATTTTGGAGCACTGCATTGTATTCCTTAATAAGAGACAACTCTGCAAAGTCTTTCAATTTCTTCTTATTAGACACTATCTCCTTTAAAAACTTTGCATAAGTAGGGATATTTGCCAAAACTTCAGAAAAAGGCACATTGACATGTAGCTTCTTAAGCATATTCACAAACTTCTGGTACATCTTATCAGTTGCCTTCTTTTTAAGTCTTTTCTCATAAATTAATACCTCCTCTTGATTCTTTGATTTTCTTTGGATTTTTCAACAAGTTCATCCAACACTTTTCCTGAATGATGTGTTACTGCCACTGTAACTTCTTTGGGATTCATCTTAGTGGTACTAGGCAATTTACCTTGCCCTTTTTTCAGTCATTGCCTTTGCCAATTGTCCAACCTATTTCTCAAGACTCTGAATAGATGCCTGTTGGGATTAGACCATTTGATCCATATATAATGAAACATCATCTCTTCTATACTAGACTTCTTCCCTTTTATTGGTTGAGGAGGATACTACGGTTTTTGCAGCTAACCTTGAAATCCCAGTGGCCCCATAGGTTGCTCCCTCTATGAAAAATTAGGGTGATTATGCAACTATGGATTATAAGTGTTTGAGAAAGGATTATTCTTTTGTTGTATTCGCTGACCTCTATAAGCTCTAGCAAAATTAAAATTCTCCACCATAGTGGTGGTCTCTCTATTATAGCAACTCGCAGTCGTATGCCTATATATGTTGCAATTAGCATAAAATTCTGATTGTTGCATTTTACGGGTTAGCAATGACTGCATTTATTGCATCTGTCTACTCAATTCAGTCACTTGTGAATCCAAGTCTTTTTGTGTAGACACTTCATGTACACTTCTTACCCCAGATCGCTTTTTGTTGAGAGTTGGTAGACAGCAACTCATAAACCTCAACTAACTTCTCCAGAGTCTTGTCCCCAATGTATCCTCTAGCTGCAAAGTCTACCATGTTTTGGGTAGTGAAAGTTAACCCATCATAGAAGAACAGCACTTGTAGTGCCAAACGATACTGGTGATGAGGGCATTGATCAAGCAGCAGTTTGAACCTTTCCTAGACCTTATGAATGGGCTCTCCCTCCATTTGAGAAACATGCATATTTTGTTCCGTAAATCAATAGTCTTTTGCGGTGAGTAGTACTTGTTCATAAAGATGTTGTACACTGTACACATCTTCCTAAGTCGTCAATGATTCCTCTGGTAAATTCAACAGTCATTATTTCACACGATCCCTAAGGTAATATGGGAAGCACCTCATCCGCAATTCATCTTCTGATAGTCCATTTAACAGAAAAGTCTACACTATGGAATAAAAATCCTGAATGAAAATAAGCGGGTTCTTATTAGCCAGACCGTGAAAACCAAATAGCATGTTGAAGCGCACAGTCTTTAGTTCATAGTTTCTTACCCCTTCACTTAGCCTAATACAATGTGAGGATACTGGTATTACGAGACGCTGGATGTCCCTCAGACGAAATCCAATAAGTAGAACTACTGGTGACACAAGTTGCTGGTTATTATTATTGTTAGTATTGTTGCCACGATTTTCTTCTGCCATTCTTTCTTCGTTGAACTTGCTGACCTTGCTAATTCTATTGCAATATTGATTCCAGGTGATTGTGGTTGTGATGTCTACTTCTGCAAATAAGTTTCTTTCCTATAGTACTTTGCAGGTTTTCTATCTCAGGATCGTACACCAAATCACCTTTCTGCAATCGAGTCATATACCAAACACCTACACAAGATAATTAAAAATAAAGTGAAGAACTAGAGATAAGAGAAAATAAACAAAAACAAAAATAGAGAACAAAAGAGAAATAACTAAAATAGAGAAATTAAACATCATCCCCAGCAACGGCGCCAAAAACTTGATCAACGAATTCCTATAACCGCACAGAGTCGATCATAGTAATAAATCACCTAGAGTATTCCTGGAGTCAAACTCATAGGGACAAGTTAATTTTCTATTTTAATTATTCTAAAAAAATAACAAAATTCAAATTCAAGGAATTGTATTTTCTAACTAAACAACAAGATAATAATCAATTCAAATGAAATAATGGTGAGAAAACAATAGACATGAGTTTAAGATTTTATATTTTAATCTAGAATTTGAGTCAATTATTTAGTTAATTTCTTAACAAACCATGAACAAAAGTATTCAATTATTTAGATTATCACTTGATATATCTAAAATGTGCCTAATTAAATCCTATGTCTCTCTCGGCATCGCAAGTATTCAATTAAACCCTTTAAGAACTTTGGTGATATAAGTGCGTTATCCAAATCCTAACCTACTCTCATGATTAGGTTAAGTATGTTTATTTATCTAGTGCACGATTGTATCTCCCTTCTCAATTCAATACAAACCCTAAGAGCATATATATGATGGCCAAGTATAAACACGAAATAAAAATTGAGATAGATAAATTATAACAAAAGGCAAGAAATTAAACTACAAAAATTATTCAAATTCTTTCATAACAACCCTAACCCTAGAAACAATTTAGTTCAAAATAATTAGAAAATTAAAACCACGAAGTCAAAGAGTTGCTACAAAGATAAGAAAAAAAGTAAAAAAACTTCTTGATTGCTTCATCCAATCTTCTCATTGCACACTCCTTGATTTGCCTGGATTTGATCTTGATTTCTCAAGAATAAACTATAAAAAGATGTTAAAACTATGTTAGGCTAATATTTTCCACCACTAAAAACGTCCTAGATAGTCCTTATTTATAATTTCCTAAAGTAGCATTTGAAATTGGGTAGGATTGGGCTTATTGGAGCTAAAAAATGATAATTTTGTGTAGTTTTTCATTGAATACCTATGCCAACACTAGCCTAAACTCCGGCGCCGGTGTTGGGACCAGAGCAATACCGGCGAGAAGACCGAAATTAACATCAGTGCAAGTTACAACTAATCTGCATGCAAATCCAATTTGGAGCCAAAAATCTCTATTAACAATGCCAAATTTGATCTTTCTCTAAACATGAAAATTGTAGCCCTTTGCATTGGCAATCCAATGCCATAAGAATCATGTCATTTGGAGGCCAAGACACTAAGATATGCCTAAAATACTAAGAATTGGTTAGAAGAACATCGTAGCACAACTATACTTCAGCTTTTTGGACTTTTGGCTATAAAAACGTGAGAACCAGACATTAATGTTTTCATAAGAATTTACAGTATTTCTCAGTTTCAAGCTGAATCTAGAATCATCTCAATCTGATTTTGGTAGCTCAAGTTGTCGCCAAAATACTGAGTGCGTTTGGCCTGCTGAAATACTAAATTATTAGTGATAATGCACCAACTCCTGTTTGGGCAGGTCAAATAAAACAGCAAATGTATTTCTCCTTCCTTCAAATGTACTCATTGCCACGTAAGTAATTTAGTGTATTTATTTCCCTTGATGAATGGCCCAAAACTTTTGACCGTTATTTTTGTCCTTTTCTGTCTGCCATTCCAGGTAAGTCGACAAAGCTGCCTACTTCTTTACTCATTTGTGCCAACCACTTACTTTCTCCTTTACTCTTCTGGAACCACTCATCTCTCTCTATCAAAATATCGACACTATTTACCAGATCTACATTTCCACCCACAAGTCCCAGGACTAAGCGTTGGTGTCGGCCGAACAATTTTAGCTAAAGGATTCATGGTCGTTCCAATTATACATTACAATCAGGTGTTGAATTCGTCGGTGACACTCGGAATTAATCTACAACGATTTCTTTGAGTTTATCGGTGACAAACTCCGACAACATTGTGAGAACCCGAAAAATTTTCTTATTTTATATTAATTATTTTATTTCCTTACATACATTTTCTATACTTTACCTTATAATCTTAATTTTCTAGATATTTTTATAAGTGTGTCTAGTTTTTAAATCATTTTCCTGGTATAAGTTAGTTCATATTAAGTTTGAAATGTGTTATGGACATGGGACCCGCTAGTGCGATAAATTTTTGACGACTAGGTGAAGTTTTGCATAAAGGAACATTAGTTTGTAAGGTGCTAAGGGATAATTAGAAGTTAGCTAGATAAATTAGCTTTGAAAGACAAGAAGATGAGAACAAAACCCTAAGACGCTATTTGTCGCGAAACCATTGAAAGTTGAACTTTGACCAAAGTTGTCTTAACTTTCTTAAAACCAAACATTGACCAAATTTTCTTCATTTTCCTCTAGCCTTGGCCGAAATTTTGAGAGAAAAAACAAGGAGAGAAACTTCATTTTCTATCTCAATTTCTGGTTTCAATCTTGAGTTTTAACCATCAACTTTGCAAACTACACCATACAAAGTGCTAACTAAGGAAGATTAAAGGCTTGAGTGGAGAGATTTTTGGAGGAAAAACACTAAACTTCCATCTTTCTTGGAATTACAAGGTAACTTTGGCCATAAACTTTCCTCTACTTCAAACATATGCAAACTAGTGGTTTAGGGTTTCAATTTCGGTAGTTTCATGAGAAAATTTCATGGTTTAAAGTTGTGATGTGAAATTTTCAGTTTTTATGGTAATTTTCTGCCCACATATGATGCTTAAGCGTTGGCCATGGTTTAGTAGTTTTGCTATGTGAAATATCTAATTTTTATGTGCTAGCTTGATTTACCTAAAGAAAATTCCAGCTTGTGATTATGGAATTCAGCTTAAGGTTTCATTTTCTATCTTGAGTAGGTGATGGTTATATGCTATATATATGCTTGATTTAGTGAGTTATTGGCTTGGTATGTATATATTTGAGTTGAGGCTATTTTATGGTAAGAATGAAATCTTGAATTGACTGAAAAAATTGGTAAATACATAGGAAGTGCTGATGAAAATTTGTCCGCAGGGAACCTTGGGCAGTCTTAGGAAATCTGTTATATCTTAGTGTAAAAAAGTTAGAATTGAGTTTCGTTTGTTGCGTTTGAAACTAGATTTAGAGAAATTTCTACCATGCAAATTTCATAACTTTTCTCAATTTTTATCAATATCTGTGAGTTTTTAAATTTGACTAATTTTCCATACTTGTTCTGTCTTTTGACTAGAAAAAGCAACAACTTGAGATTGGATATTGACTGACTTGTGAACAGAATCATGCAAAGGTGTCTCTAAGAAATTGTAACTCTTTGAATCTATTTTTTAATGGTATAAAGTTTATACGTTTTGAAATTAAGAAGCTTGAAATATAATTTTTCAAATAGCATTGCACAAAACTGGAAAAATTCTCGCTCCGTTTGGATTAGCTGTTTTTAGGGGTGTTTTTGAAAAACTTTACTGTAGCAGAGTTTTTATAGTATATTTTAAAATATTTTTAGAAAATATTTTGAAATATTTTTTATTGGCACTTTATTTTGAGATATTTGGTAAAATTTTAAAAAATTTTAAACTAATTTTTAGATTATCTTTTAGAATACTTTGTTGTAACTTTTATTGTATTTGAAAAACTAGTTTTTGAAAAACACTCCAAAAACAGGAGATTCCTAAAACTGTCCTTACTTTCATTTTCAACTTTAACTTGGAGTTGTTAAACCATTTTGAGCTTGGTTTATGAATGGAATGAGGAAATTCTTAGTTACTCATGTCCCTTGGGTCTAAATGTTCTCTTTTCACTCCAAAATCATATTTGCACCTTTGTACTAATAGTTACTCGAATTTTCTTTGTATAATGATCCCACTCAGAGGTGTTAGAGTTGGTATCAGAGCCAACTCCCGACCCTGATGTGCTAGCAAGGACGCTGGATCCCTTAAGGGGGTGGATTGTGATGATCCCACATCGGCTAAGGAGGAAGTCCTGATTTGCTTTAATAACCTGTTGTGGTGTCTCCCACCTAACCGAAGCCTTTTGGTAAGGCATTAGCCTGTTGTGTGGTCTAGCACCACCAGGAACAAAACCCACGGCCCCACGAGACGGCTAACTGTGGGACAATATCGACCAGAGGTGTTAGAGTACTGTAACAGCCCCACCTCCCCCGAAAGCGAACCAAAGAGTTCTGCGGACTGCTTGCCCAATTCTCGCCAGGACTCACTACATTCTTCAAATAAATTACAATGTAAATCTCAAATACTACATCAAATACTCCACGAATTTACATACCACAAATGAATCGAAATTCAAAATATACATGAAATATTCCATCCAATCACACTAATAAGTTAATACAAGTGCTTTATTTGCCTCGAGCCCTGTGGAGAGGAAATAAATATTTTGGGGTGAACTAGAAGCTCAGCGAGTGTCCAATAAAAAATCAATAATCAAATAAATTTCACAATAATGCATTTAGATGATGTCATGAATCAGTGATCAAATGTAAGTTTATTGCTCTTATGAGCCAGTGAAATCATTGTACTTAAACATCCGACGCTCAAATAGATCAAGTAACAGTCAAACAATACAAGGGAGCCATCGATGCTCCAACATTCAAGGCAAGTCAAGTGTCATTAAGGTGGAGACGTTGGTGTTGAGCACAAGACTTCCAAACACTCATTTGAGCCAAATCATTACATGGCACACACACAAGCACATATGATATGCAATCGAGTAAACAGTGCAAGAAATAGTTCGAAAAGTAATTTTGAAAACAGTTTTGGAAACACTCGTCCATATCCCATATTTGAGGGGTGTTTCTCTTATCTAATCAAGCAAAATGATCTATTCTAGTTCTAACTCTCCTTAAATGAAATGCAAATCTAATGTCATGATTCATACATAGGGGTAAGGAATATACATATAAGGGAAATATGGATAAGGGATATACATATAAGGGAAATGTCATGCAAAATGATAAAACCTCTAAAGATAGAAAATATGCATGAAAATGTAATGATTTTTCACACACAAACATGATCTAACGCTTGGATGGTTCCTAAGGATTTAGCATTGGGCTAACCCATGTCTTTACATGCTGACTAGCATTGGATTAGTGAAAAAGCGGAAAAAATGACCACAACTAGCGTTGGACTAGTGTGGTGATGTCATGCATCTATTACAATCAAATAAATCATGTAAAGCATAATAAAGCAAATAAACACATAAATCACATATAGCAAACACATAGCACATAAACATGATATCTAAATGCAAGGCCTAAGAAAGCGAGTAACACGTAAACACATAAGCATGCAAAGCACACAAAGCAAATAAAGCAAATAAAGACCTAATTATTACATTCGGGGACCCTAACTACAATCTAAAGGGGATAAAAAATGAAATAAAATAACAACCTAACTATTACATTTGGAGAGCCCTAACTACAATCTAAAGGGGTAAAGAATCAAATAAAATAATAACCTAACTATTACAATTTTGGCATTTAATTGCCTTCCAAAAAATTAAAAATTAAATTAAATTAAAAGAAATATACAAAATCAAAACAATAAATAAATGAAATAAAAACATTCAAAAGGACATGCAATTACACATAAAAGTCACATAAGGGCACATAGGATCAAATAAGATAAAATAAAAATAAAGGATAGAATATACCTCCCTTGAATTGGTGATCTAAGGAAATGAAAATTTTCTTATTTACTCTCCAAAAAACAAATAAAAAGGTCAAGGCATCACTTTAATTAACAAACAATTACAAGAAATGGAAATGGACACGAAATTGAATCAATTAGAGCATTCAAATGAAAGTAAACAATCCATATTTAACAAATTAAAACAAACAAGGATCCAATTGAAAGAATTAAAGAAGTTTTGGGGGTCAAATCACTATTATTACACATATTAGGGGTCTAAATTAAAATAAAATAAAATTAGGATTTAAGATGAAACATACCAAAATCAAATACTAAAATTCACAACAATGGATCAAAACTCTCTCACCACACCCCAACAAAAAATATTACTCAAATCTAAACCATGTTTATCAAAAATCCGAATCAAAAGCTATAAAACTATCAAAAATTATTAAACTTCAAAATTCATCCTAAAATTCACCAATAATCTATTCAAAAATCACGCAAAAACATGCCAAAGAAAAATTAACATTGAAAAGGGCATAAATGATTAACTTTTCCAATTTTTGGGCTATAGTGGCATTAGTTGAAAATTCAGGGGGTTAAATTGTAATTTTTTAAAAATATTTCATGCAACCCAGCGAAGCTTTCTTCTTCAACCGAAAGCTTTCTTTCTTTCTGCAACTTTCTTTTCTTTTTGTTCATCAACTACCCGAAGCAAACAGTAAGCTAACAAGATCATGCAATTCATGGGCTCTACTTCCATCATTCAATCATCAAAGATTCACCAACACAACAAGATTCATGGGCAAGGAAATCATCTGATACCCAACGCAGCAAAGGGATGGGAAATGGTTCAAGAACCCAGCAACAAAAGCTCAACATTAGGCTGCCATTTCGCCCTTCTTCACAGGCGGAAAAACATCAGAACATCCAACTTCAACTCTAGCCATTCCCCAAAGAAAATGAGACTCACACAAACCCCCTCTCACACAATCTCACAACATAACCCAAGTTCATACAAAGGAAAGGATAATAAAAAGAACAGAAAAAGAATGTAAGAAAGAATGTCCGAACATGAAAATCTCTCAAAACTCTTATTTCTTGCCACAAAAATCAACGAGCTCCGGCAAGTTTTGGACTGATCGGAGATGCTCCTCACGCACACGGACACACAAGATTCATCAATTTTGCTATCTTGATTCAAAGTTTTCTTTTAGACATTTCTTCAAACAGGTTATGTACACGAATAAATTTTAACTAACCCCCTGACATCTCACTATAGCCGATCCAAAAATCACAACAACCCAACCATAACTTATCTTGTAATCAACACATAAACATCAAAAACATGGAAACAGTTTGCTAAGAAAAAGGAAATGAAACAAACAAGCCAATATTTCTCACAGCTCCATACGTTCATTGGCAGAAATTAAAAGTAGGAAAGGGCAAGAAAAAGAAAGCATTACAGTATTTTCTAGCAAGGTATAACGGCGGTGGAGGTGGATTCAAGTGGCAGCAACTCCTCCCCGGTTCGTTGATTTCCTTTGGCTACTGGTTCCGCTTTTTCTTAGTTTTTTCCCTGCCCCAGCTCTTTCTTCTTTCGTTTCTTGTTTCTTATTGTTCTAAATTTCTTCTGTTTGCTCTATCACTCTTGCTCTCTCTCTCTCTCTCTCTCTCTCTTTTTTCAGATTTTTCTCCCTTTTTCTTGCCCCTCTGTCCGCCGCCCCTTTTCCTTTCCTCTCCTTGCTCTGTTTTTCCCCTCAGCCCCCCTTTTGCCCCAAGTCCCCCGTTTTCTTTTCTTTCCTTAGCTTTTTTTCTTTTTCCGTCGCTAGCCTTCTTTTCCTTCTTTTTTTATTTTCTCTCAAATTTCCTTAGGCCTCCGTGTATTCTAACACCTCACCTTCTAGGTGTTGTGTTGTCAAAAAAATAAAGAGACACTTGTCCCTATTGCATGTGCTCCACTTGGCCCTATTGCATGTGTGCCACTTGGTTCTATTGCAAGTGTGCCAATATTATCTTGTATTTTGTATTTTTCTCTCTTTTTTTCTTTTCTTTTTCTTTTTTTTCAAAAACCAATTTGTGATAAATGAATGCTATTTTCTAATTATCTTGCAAAATATCATTTCACTTAGCAAAAACTGAGTCTTGAAGAAGATAAAATGGATCTTTATTAAGAATTTTCTTTTTTTGAAATTTAGTGTAAAAAATGTTTTTTAAAAAAAATAAAAGAAAACGATGAATCTTAATGTACCAAAATAAAAAATAAACACCAATTACTATTTGCAACCTTAAATCCATTAAAATAAAATAAAATAATAAGAATGAAAACAAGAATAAATAATAATAATAATAATAAAATAAAGAATAAAGAATAAAGAATAAAGAATAAAGCTAAAATTGAATTAATTAAATAAAACTTAGAATTGAATTAATGAAATTTTGGTGTCTACACAAATCATGCATTTTCATGGTCAAAAATTGAAATCGCAGAGAAAACAGAAACTGTCGGTTAAACATGGCATTTGGGCAGTCAGGGGTATTTTAGTCATTTCACAAGTTACAGTGCTCGGATTGAGCTGAAATATTTTGGGTAGAAAATTAACTCAAATCCCTACAACTTTCATGTTTTGAGCAGGAACTGATTTAGCCTTTATCATGGACGAATATGCAGTTCAAGTGGTGAGTGCAAATCTGGAATAAAGATGGCAGCAAAGAAATAATTGGGAAACAAGAGATGTCTTCAACAAAACTTAACTTCCATGGCTCAAATCCAACATACAATCACATAAACTCAAGTATCTTCAAATATTAGTAGGTTGTTAGTACTTTTACCTCATTTTTCCATCAAAACCTAAGAGGAAAGCCACCAAGAAACTCAAGAAAATTCTTCCTCCAAGGCTCCTCTCCAAGCTTGATTCAAGAGTTTGTGGAGTAAACATGTTTCCTCTCTTGTTTGAGCAAGAAATCATGGCTGGAAAATGAAGCTTTTCCTCCCTCTTCTTTCTCAAAATTTCGTCCATGATTCTTACAAGAAGAAGAAATGATGAAAACAAAAGGTTTGGTCAAGATAACAAGAAGAAAGCATGGTCTTGGTCAAAGGTCCAACTTCCAACAGTTTCGCGACAAATAGCACCTTAGGGTTTATGCTCATCTCTTTATCTTTGAAATCTAATCTATCTAACTAACCTCTAATTATCCCTTAGCACTTTGTAAAATAATATCCCTTTATGCAAAACTCCATCTAGTCGTCAAAATTTTACCACACTTACCGCACTAGCGGGTCCCACGTCCATAATACACTTCAAAATTAACATGTACTAACTTATACAAGAAAATGATTTAAAAGCTTGACTCACTTATAAAAATATCTAGGAAATTAAGCTAATAAAGTAATATAAAGAAAATGCATGAAAAGAAATAGAATAGATATAAAATAAGGAAAAAAATATTTTCGGGCCGTCACAATCTCTCCCCCTTGAGAGAATGTTGCCCTCAACATTTCAACTCGTACTAATCAGGTCAAGATAGTTCTCGAAAGTCAATCAAGCACTAAGATTCACTCTAATTCCACTTATCTGATTTTCATCCCTACAAGCAGTTACTTAACTTTCAAACCAATCCCACAGTCCGACATCCTAAACTTTTACCCTAAGATATACTACAGAGATCTGAAACCTAAGCTCTGATACCAACTGTGACAGCCCCACCTCCCCCTAAGGCGAACCAAAGGATTCGGCGGACCACCTGCCCAACTCTTGCCAGGATTCATTACAGTCCTCAAATAAATTACAATATAAATATCAAATACTACATCAAATACTCCACGAATTTACATGCCACAAGTGAATCGAAATTCAAAATATACATGATATATTCCATCCAGTCACATTAATAAATTAATACAAGTGCTTTCTTTGCCTCGAGCCCTATGGAGAAGAAATAAATATTTTGGGGCGAGTTAGAAGCTCAGTGAGTGTCCAGTAAAAAATTAATAATCAAATAAGTTTCACAATAGTGCATTTAGATGATGTCATGAATCAGTGATCAAATGTAAGTTTATTACTTTTGTGAGCCAGTGAAATCATTGTACTTAAACATCCAACGCTTAAATAGATCAAGTAACAGTCAAGTAATACAAAGGAGTCGTCGATGCTCCAACATTCAAGGCAAGTCAAGTGTCATTAAGGTGGAAACGTTGGTGTTAAGTACAAGACTTCCAAGCACTCATTTGAGCCAAATCATTGCATGGCACACACACAAGCACACATGTTATGCAATCGAGTAAACAGTGCAAGAAATAGTTCGAAAAGTGATTTTGGAAACAGTTTTGAAATCACTCACCAACCACAGCTCATGATCCTCATCCATCATAGATAGTTTCCTTGCTCAAGTCTAAGCCCTAGATCACAAATATCATGTCAAGCAAAGGAAATTCTAAAATCATCAAGTTCTTCTCACCTTTTGGCATTTTAATCACAACTGAAGCTACACTTATCGGATTGAGATGAATCTTATGGCGTTTCGAAGCTATGACATAGGCCTACATTTATTATGAAGACCTCCAAAGCCAAATCATGCATTTTCATGGTCCAAAATTGAAATCTCAGAGAAAACAGAAAGCTGTCGATTAAACAGGGCATTTGGGCAGTCAGGGGTATTTTAGTCATTTCACAAGCCAAAGTGCTCAGATTGAACTGAATTTTTTTGGGTAGAAATCTAACTCAAATCCCTATAACTTTTATGTTTTGAGCAGGAATTAATTTTGTAACAGCCCCACCTCCCCCTAAGGCGAACCAGAGGGTTCGGCGGGCCGCCTGCCCGGCTCTCGCCGGGACTCAGTCGTTCACTACAGTCCTCAAACAAATACAAGATACAACCTCAAATATTACAATATAAATCTCCAATATACATCAAATTCTCCAATAATTACATGTCAAAAGCAAAGCGGAAACAATTCTCAACTATACATAAAATGATTCCAAATCCAAACGGTACAAAATATAAAATTTCCAACTAAGCCATCCAATCACGTGAATAAGCACAACAAGTCCTTCCTTCGCCTTGAGCCCTGTGGAGGGGAATAAAATATTTTTGGGGTGAGCTAGAAGCTCAGCGAGTAACCAAGAAATTCAGTTATCAAATCAGTTTCACAATCGTTCATTTCAATAATGTCATGCTTCAACAATCAATGCACTTTCACTTCTCTCATGAGCCAGTGAAATCATGGTACTTAGACGTCCAACGCTCCAAACAATCATTTAACATTGAACATTAACATTGAACATTGAACATTGAGCCCATTGGTGCTCTACAGGAACATTAAACGGTGGAGGAAACGTCGGAGTCTAGCACACGAATTCCAAGTACTCATTTGAGCCAAAACATGTCAAGAACTTATATGCCGGCACACAGGATATGCAATCAAATAAACGATGCAAGAAACATTTTAAAGTAACGTTGCATGTAGTTTAAGGTCACTCACCTCCACGGCTCACAATCCTCGTCCAATATAGCCAATTCCATCATTCAAGTCACCATTAGGCACAAAATAAGCATCATTAGCTATAAGAGGATGTTCAATCATCACTTACCTAATAAAAAAGAGAAGGAGAGTTGTAGGACACCTTAGCTTCTCCAAAAAACTTCACCAAATCACTCACTAGCACCAAATGGAAGGATTGTATGGAGTAGAAACAAATTTCAGCACTTGGGTTGGATGATTTGAGCTAGATGTTAGCTAAAATGGTGAAGAGCTCTCTTCCTTTTTTCCTTAAGGTTGGTCGGCCAAAGAAGAGAAAGAAATGGTGATTTTTGTGGCAAATTTGAGATATTTAATCAACAATTAGTAAGAAAGGTCAAAAGTCAAATAAGTGGCAACCTCTCTTAAAGTGACACATGTCACTTCCTTAATGCAACTCTATCCTTTTGTCTTTCCAATAAAATATCTTAACACTTTGTAAAATAATATCACTTAATACAAAATTCTAAAAAGTGGTTAAAAATATAATGCATTTACCGCACTAGCGGGTCCCACGTCCAAAATACGCTTTTAATTTCTCAAAAACTAACCGATACTAGAAAAATCATTTTAAAACTATTTTTGCTCATAAACTTTATCTGGGGAATTTTTCTAATCAAGAAAATGTAGAAAAGGCGGGCGTTTTAAAAAATAAACCCTAGAAAATTAGAAAATTTCCGGGTTCTCAAACTCATTTTTTTTTCAGGGCGTCACAGATTTGGCCTTTATCATGGACGAATATGCAGTTCAAATGGTGAGTCCAAATCTAGAATAAAACTGGCAACAAAGAAATAATTGGGAAACAAGAGATGTTTTCAACAAAACTTAACCTCCATGGCTAAAATCCAACATACAATCATATAAACTCAAGTATCTTCAAATATTAGTGGGTTGCTAGTACTTTTACCTCATTTTTCTATCAAAACCTAAGAGGAAAGCCACCAAAAAACTCAAGAAAGTTCTTCCTTCAAGGCTCCTTTCCAAGCTTATTTCAAGAGTTTGTGGAGCAAACATGTTTCCTCTCTTGTTTGAGCAAGAAATCATGGCTGGAAAATGAAGCTTTTCCTCCCTCTTCTTTCTCAAAATTTCATCCATGATGCTTACAAGAAAAAGAAATGATGAAAACAAAAGGTTTTGTCAAGATAAGAAGAAAAAAGCATGGTCTTGGTCAAAGGTCCAACTTCCAACGGTTTCGCGACAAATGGCACCTTAGGGTTTATGCTCA